AAAGATATGTTGTAAAGTAAATGAATAAACCCACCAAACAAAAACAAAACCAAAAACACCCACTGTGATTTCACAGGAGAGGCGCACTGAAAAGTTTTCTATTCCAAGTTTTTCCTGTACATCTGTAGATATGCGTGCTGCTGTACAACCTGTGTCAGTTAGTTTTTAAGCCCTTTTCAGTAAACAGGGGATTCTTTCACATGAATGCTTGTTTTTAAAACATTTGAAAAAACGATTCCTTGAGATCTTTTTTAGGTGGATGTGGCTGAGTTTAGTCTTGACCCTGTTCCTCCTCCTCCTGTTTGCTGTTATCAATGACCTATCATGCACCTCCTTCAATAGAAATCTTCACGCGGATGAATCTGTGCTCCTGCTGGAGTGTGGGCTCATTCATTCTGATGGAGTGCCAGTGTCATGGTTTCTGCCCATCTGTTGGACAACTCGTGGGTAGCACTTTGAGTGTGGTACTAATGAGCTCAGATTAGAAGAGGCCAGCTGCTCCTGTCTGTGTCATCAGTTAGCCATGCTGGCAGGAAGATGTCCCAAGAGTGCACAGGCCACAGAAAGGATTTTGTTCAGAAGACACAGGGCGAGCACTACCTGCGCCTGGTCTTTCTAATCGAATTGACAGCACAAAAGGCAAATGGGGCTGGCAAAGAATTAATGGTGCACATGGTCAGTTCAAACGATCTGTGTCTTTCTGCCCTTTCTCGGGGATGCCTGACCTAAAGCCATTCTCCCAGAGAGCTATAAAGTCAGGCACAGCAGGAAGCAGCCTCACTGTGGTGCTGGAGATCTGCTCTGTCTTTGCAGAAAGGAAAAGCTGATGCCATGAGTTTGGATGGAGGATACATCTACACTGCGGGCAAGTGTGGTTTGGTGCCCGTCCTGGCAGAGAACTATAGTAAGTGGAGTCAGTGAACTTCCTGGGTTTTTCCTTCTGGCCATGGGGGTGAGGAGCAGTAACCCCACTTAGTGGATCATGGCAAAGACATTAAGATGGATGGATATATTCAAATGGGAGTTTAGTGAGGTATAATGTACATGCAGAAAAGTGCCCTTCACAAACTGTACACCCTGTGCACCTGCGCAGGTGATGAAGACACAACAAGTTCCAGAAGTCCCCTGTGTCTTCCTGCCACTCGGGCAAGAGTAGCTGCTCTCCTGACTTCTAAGGGTGCAGATCATTCTGCCTGTTTCTGCTTTATCTGAAATGGTCTACAGCAAGTGCTTTTTATGTCTGGTTTCTCTTGCTCAGCTGCACACTAGTGATATTCTTCCATCTAGGGGTGTAATTGTAGACTTTTCAATGGTGTTCTGTCATGTGCGTCTACCACGATTAGTTAGCCATTTGACCATGGGTGGGCATTGGGCCATTCCAGTTGGTGGCTATGGTGAATAGTGTTGCTACTGGGTGTCCACGTCCACGTCTTTTGGTGAGCACATATATACATTTTTTCTGCATGGATCTGGGAGGACTGTCTCTTTGGATTTGCTTCTCTGTTATTGGAGATTTGAGAGTTTGTTTCCTCTCAGGACATCTGAGTGTTTAATGATGTCTTGCTGGCCTTTATTCTTTCAGAATCCCAAAAAAGCAGTGACCTTAATTGTGTGGATAGACCAGTGGAAGGTGAGTTGGTATCAGTTACTTTCAGGGACAAGGCTAATTTCTTGTTGCTGGGTAAAGAGGTGGTGGGAACTTTTAAAAACTCACAGAAATGGCTGGGTGTGGTGGCTTGCACCTAAAATTCCATCACTGTGGGAGGCCGAGATGGGTGAATTGCTTGAGCTCAGGATTTTGAGACCAGCCTGAGCAAGAGGGAGAGCCCATCTCTGCTTGTTATAGAAAAACTAGCTGGACATTGTGGCAGGTGCCTGTAGTCCCAGCTACTTGGGAGGCTGAAGCAACAGGATTGCTTAAACCCAGGAGTTTGAGGTTACTGTGAGCTGTGATGATGCCATGGCACTCTACTTAGGGCAACAGAGTGAGACTCTGTCTCAATAAACCTCCCTCAACAAACAAACAAACTAATAAACAAACAATACCTCACAGAAATAATTGCAGCTACAGAAGTAATTGATAGAGTAATCATTATAATTAATATTTATATTGACCTTCAAACTTGCCAGAGAACATTCATATGGTTCCTTACTGTGCCCTGGTCATGTTGAAGGAGGGATGCTTCCCATCTTATATGGATGAGGAAATAGTGGCCCAGAGAGTCTCCAAGTGTCCAGGATCTTACTCACAGCCATAGATAATACTGTGGCAGATCCTGACCTTGAACTCGGGTCTCTTGTGCCAAATCCAGTGCTGTGTATCACTGCCACCCACCCACTAGAGCTAGTGCTTATTCAGCTTGGAAGCGACTCAGCACTTGTCCTCACTGGGTGCTTGTCAGGTGAATTCTGTGGAGAGCAAGAGGCCACCACAGTAACCCTTTCACAGTGCAGGGCTGGTTCACTCTCAGCTCAGGCCTGTCCTTGGAGACATACTCCCCTGCAGGCAGTTAATCTTGCCTGATGCATATTGTCGTTGGTGATCTGTGCACTTTGGGGCCACTCATATTCAGTGTCTGTTGCTTATGTAGCCCACATCTAAAGGTGAATTGCTGGTTTGTAACTCCGAGACATTGTGTGCTAGTGGAGGACAGTCTCCTTAAAGAGACTTAAAGACTTCACTTAAAGAATCAGCTTTTCTTACTATTTTATTTCATAGGTGTCAGCTCAGTTTCACCCAACATAGACAAGCAGCTTATGCTCTTTCGGTCTACCTAACATTGACCAGTTTCTTGGGGGGAATTGTTGCTTGGTGATGCTTCTTGACCTATTTTGGCCCAGTTGCCGATAGCTGTACTAGAATCCCTGTGCCAGGTCTCCTGGAGGTTAAGATTTTTCTCTTCCCTTATCTGTTGTGCAAGGATATCTCGCTGTGGCAGCGGTAAAGAAATCAAATGCTGACATCACCTGGAACTCTCTGAAAGGCAAGAAGTCCTGCCATACTGCGGTGGACAGGACCGCAGGCTGGAACATCCCCATAGGCCTGCTTTTCAGCCAGACAGACTCCTGCAAGTTTGGTAAGGAGTGTGAGGGTTTTGTGGGTGGGCTGTGCTGGAGAGCGAGGCACATTGTGCTGTGGAACCTTAGGGAAGGGAGGAGAAGGAAAATTTTCAGCTGATTGTGGCCCGCAGGTCTTGGCATGAGCAAGTCTTCCCTGTGGCTGCCTCCTGCAGTCTTGGGTGCCCTGGGAGGTTTCCTGTACACCATTTTCTAGGCTTCATCCACTCCACCCCGAGACAAAAGATTGGAATAGCTGCCTGTGTCTCTGTGCCCTGAGAGTGGATGCAGATTCCAAGAAGTGCAAATGTTTTTGTTTTACTTCGTGGAACTTCAGATCTAAATTCCTCAGAGGCTCAGGCCTCTCTGCCTGGGGAAAGGCACCCTCTTGACTCATGAAAGGTGGTTTCTGTTACTAAACAGAACTGATTGCTTATTCCATGCCATAAGAGAACCTGAACAAGACCTCAAGGGTCTGGCTCAACCTGCTCCTGGGTCTTCTCTTTCTACCACACTCTACCCTCACCTTGGTTAGTGTGAGCTCTGCTCTCCCTGCCTGCTGTGGTGACACAGAAGTGTGTGGCGTGTTTTCTCTGTGGCTCCCCTCTTGTGAGGCACATCTTCCAGATCAGGGTCCTGCTGCATTAGGAGTGGATTTTGGTCCTGGCTGGGCAGGCTATCATATGGCTGTGCCCCTCCCTGGCAGTGCGTGCCATCCCACGAAAGCCTCCGTGCCACAGTGCAGCTGTGAGGATGCGGTAGGAACCCCTGGCCTTGCCTATGGTTGGCACGTAGTGTGGGTTTTCCAGCAGCAGGGGCTTCAGGAGCCTGACGATGGCAGGTGGTGCTTGCTTCATGGGGCAAAGGCAAGGCTTGCTTGTCACCTTTATTTCCTCTTTCTTGGGCTAAATCTCACAATGGGTAATTCAGATTAGACTCAACTGAAAGGAATAGAACCCCCCCCCCCGAAATTATAGAGGCTTAAACAAGACAAAATTTAGTTTCTCCATCATGTAAGTGAAGTTCAGAGGTAGGCTGTCCAGAGCTAGTATGATGACAGCTTGGTGTCAGGGACCCGGGTTATTCTGCCATTTATGGCTTCCATGCTCAAGGCCACTTCATGGCCTGCGTCAAAGCTGGAAGTCCAGTCCCTCCTTCTGCATCCCACATGCTGGGTGAAGAGCAGGGTTGAAGAGACAGGCAAATAGGCATGTGCCAACTGTCTTTTAAGGGTATTCCCAAGAAGGTACCCTCCAACACTCCTGCCATATTTCACTGGCCAGTACTGGCCACATGGCTACACCAGCCCCAGGGCATCTGATGGGTCTAGTCTTTACACCAAAGGGCCAGGTGCCCAGATAAAGAGTAGAGTGTCTGTTACTGACAAAAATAGAAGTCAGACCTTGGAGTAAGTTAGTGACTAGCAGGTTCTACAGCTGTTAGTACAGCTCTGCCATAATGGTCCCCAGTGGAGTCCCCAGCTCAAGGCTGTGATGATGGGACCCTCTGTGCCGTCAAAGCTCTTGTTCCCAGCCTTAGCTAGGTTTTATCAATGCCTACAGTCTGAAGCTCTTCTGATTTCTAGTGGGTCCTGTGTTGATGGCAAACTGCCACTTATGGTAGTGTGTTCTGTATGTCCTGGGCAATATAATGAACTGACCCAAGCCGTGTCATCTGTTAGGTAAAGGGTGCTTATGTTGACTCGGGTCAAAAGAGCTGACTTTCCATGTTCCTTCTGCCCAGATGAATTCTTCAGTCAGAGCTGCGCCCCTGGGTCTGACCCCAGATCCAATCTCTGTGCTCTGTGTATCGGCAACGAGGAGGGGCAGGATAAGTGTGTGCCCAACAGCAATGAGAGATACTATGGCTACAATGGTGCCTTCAGGTGAGTCTGTGACTGAGCTCCATCAGGACAGGGCCTCTCCCCTCATCCTTCAGTATCCCAGCGCTGCAGTTCTAAGGGGTCAGATGTGGCCTGGCACAGCAGAGCCAGGATCACCCTGCAAACGTGCTATTGGGCAGCAGCAGTGAGGACCTCCCCACCATACTCACCACCCCAGAGAGTGTAATCTCTGCTCTGCTGTGCTCCTCTTCGTGGCTTTGAGCCAGGTCAACCATAGTGGGCCTCTCTATTCCGAAAAGAAATGGGTAGAGTATGTGGTGTCCTAGCTGCTTTCTTCCATTCAGTTTTACAGGGATGAATTCTTTTCCCCAGAGCCACCACCCTCTCTCCTCACTTAGACCCCCATCATGTCTTGTATTTTTAATTTTCTCTTTCACTTTGGCCTTAGAAACGGCAAAAAGAAAGCACGATAGTGAATAGCCATGCTACTCTCCACTAGTGAAGTAAAAAATGAAACAAAATAAGCCTTCAGAATACAGAAATGCCAACCATTTAGTGATTCACAGAAACTATCTACACCCCACATTTTTCACTTTCGCTCCTCTGGGTGTTGCTTCTCCGTGGTACTATTTAGGGCTTTGTAGAGCGCAAAGGGGATCTTTCCCGGTCCCTTTTCTTCCCTTCACCAAGAGTATATTTCATCACTAGATGGCGCCATGGATCTGAAAATGACGGTGGCTAACCTTTATGACCTTTGAACTTTTTAATATAAATTCAGTAGCTTTGCTCCAGAATTTGTGATGGAGTGACTTAAAAGTAGCTTTTGCTATCCTCTGAATGACTTGCAAAAATACCCCCAAAAACATCAAAAAAATTTTTGAAGGTGAAAAAATATCTTTAAGCAACTAAGGATTTGCAAATGGGAAAGTTGAGATGTGATTCCGCTGAGAAGTATTCAATAGACACATCTGGTAAGAATCCAAAGAATCCTGTGGTCCTCTTTTACTCCCCAGGCTTTATTTGCTGGAAACAGCTATATCTTAGTATTCTTATTTATACCAAAGAACATGCTTTATCCTTTGTTCAAGAAAATTTATAGTAAAATAATTGAAAGCTGAAACCCACAGTCTTATTTACTCCTGTATTTCGAACTCACATTCTTACAGCTTGGGTTCCTATTGTTTTCTTTGACCACTGCCTCTCAATACTATTTTTTTTTTCTGGTTCCTAATTTTTAACTTTCAGCTAATTTCTGTTGACTCTTTACTATGGAAGAAGAAGATCTAGCCCCTCATGCTGTTCCCTGTGCTTCTGTTTCCCAACCCCCTCACAAGCTTCAATTCTCTTAGCACTGAGTAAGATGATGTCAGTGCTTACATTGCTAGGACTTTGTAAGTGGTATTCTCATATTACACATGTGGTATAATAAGATTATATTTCCCCTGTTGTACAAACTTTTTGTTTACTCTGGTGTTCATAGATGGATGTCTTCTTTTTCTATTTGCTTTTTTAAAAAAAAAACGCCAATTCATTTCAAAACCATCTGCCAGTAGTGTGAATCTCCTAACACATATACACACCCGGCTGAGCCCAGTTTGCACTGGTTTGCAAATGTTGCTCCTCAGGTCTCCCTCCTCCTGCTCCAGTCTGGCCTGGTTGCCCTCCAGGCCACCTGTACCTCTGTGGTCTTGTGGGTCCTGTTGACCATCATTCTGGGATTTCTCTGTATCTCAGTTCTTGTCAGATCGCCTGTTTTCTGGTCCTGTATGTTTAGCTTTCTTGGGTTTGTTGGCACAGAACACATCCTCCAGCAGCTTCTTGAGAAAGGGCAAATGAGAGTTTTTATTTTTTGAGTATTCACATGTCTGTACACATCTGAACCTTTGAAATAATTTATAGTTTGGATGGATAACTAAGTCTAGGTTGGGCAAGATTTTCCTTAGGAATTTTGACAGGATTTTTATGTCTGGGTCTTAGCAGCATTAAGCTATTTCGATCAACTTTCCCATGAAAAACAAGTGAAAATGCTGGATCAGTTTGCGTACACGTGTATTCACACGGACATGTCTGAAAAGCCCTAAATAATAAGGAATTATCAGACTAAAATCTAAAGGAGAATAGGAATTCAGAGAGCTAAGTGGAGCCACTTTGCCCTGTTCTGACAAATTTAACCCCAAGAGTGACCCCAAAAGTAACTTCTGTGCTCACTCCCCGGGGCTTTAAGTTGCCTGTGGGTTGAGCATAACAAGAAAGAACACACCATTTCTGGGAAATTGAAACCATGGACCAATTCTTGAATGGATTTGCAATTCAAACTTATATCCCTTAGGATAATCCAGAAATTCTCAATTCATAAATATTTTTAAAAATGATCTTAGAGTTAATGATACCTCTATGAGCAGGTCTAGAAGACAGTATCTTCAGATTAGTCTTCAAAGACAACTCAAAAGTGTGCTTTCAACAACAAGAAGCAGTACGCAGTTAAAAGTAATTACAATAATATTAACAAACACACTGGAGAACAAAGTTGACAGAAGCAAATCCAACAGAAAAGAACACATTCGTATTTTTAAAAAGGAATAAATGGAAATTTTAGAAAAGAAAAAATTAAAAACCAGACCTACAGCAATTGAAATCAACCATGCAACTGACCAGTTTAGCAGATTAGACATAGCCAAAAAGCAAATTAGTGAAGTGAAATACATGTGGAAAAAATTATCCAGAACATAAGATAGAAAGACAAAATGACAGAACATCTGCATAACAAATTCAAAAATTTAAAAGCATTCAGCCATTGTCTTCTAGTTTCTAGAGTTGTCGAGAAATCTGGTACCATTTTTGATTCCTGATTCTTTGTATATGACTTTCTTCTTGAAAACTTTTTGAGGCATTAGTTACCCTCAGTGTTTTAAAACTTTATAATAATTATTTTATAGGACTCTTCTTACTTCATTGGATTGGGCACTTGGGCTGTTTTCATCTGGAAACTCAAGTTATTCTGTGAAATTTTATTTTATTATTTCTTCACTAATTTCAATTCTTCTATTTTCTCTGATTTCTCTTTAAACTTTAGAGAGCTTTAAAGAACTTTAAAAGCTGACCGTTGTCTCTGTGTCAGTTGCCAACTGAGTACTGAGCCTCACTGTAAGGCAACTGGTTTGTGTCATTTCATTGTGGGCATCCACGTATCAGACTCTATAGGTACTTTTCTTGAGTTGATCAGATTCCCTAGAGAAGAAATCCTGCTGTTGGCTTCTTAAGGGCTGTAACTTGAACATTCAGCCTTCTGGAAGCCGAATGAAAGAAAGGGGGCTGTGAGTTAACATTCCAGGATATAGTTTTTCACTCCACTCTCTGATTTTAGTGCTGCATCTCCACCCTCAGCTGTAATTCATTCTCTAGCCCACAGTGTTTTTCAGAGTCAGCGTCCTCAGTGAACAAACCTCCCAGCTGTGTGGGATATGGAGGTACCTATGCTGCCTTGCATGTAGGCTCTACCCAGTCTTCCTGTTCCCAGCCACGTGTAATAGTGGTGCCTGGTACCTCTAATTGCTGAGCCTTTCTGGAGTTCTGCAGTGCACTCCCACTTTTTCCCAAGCTTTGCTCATTTCCAACTCAAGTTACAGCTTTCTTCGCTCTGTTAGGCCATTTACTGCTTATCCATTTGCTCTTTAACTTCCAGACTTTGCTACTATTTTCTCACTCTCTTTTACGGGTTTATGGTTTTTTAAAAACCTCAGTAATGTCATCTTCTGTCACTTTAGAAGGAAGGAAGGTCCGCATATGTATTCAATGTGTCATTTTCACTGTAAGTTCCTGGAGATATTTGTCTTTATCTTTTGCATATTTACTTCCATGCTTCAGATTTTGGAATGCATATTACAAATATTTATGAAAATCTTAATAGTTTCTCTTTTCCAGTGATATTCTTATTTTCTGGAACATTTTAGGTGCCTGGCTGAGAATGCGGGAGATGTTGCATTTTTGAAAGATGTCACTATCTTGCAGAACACTGATGGTAGGTGAAGATGTTTCCTTTTCTCCTTCAAAGCAGACTCTTTGGCATCACAATACATCTTAGTATTCAGCTTTGGAATTGGAAAGTTGCTATAACGTTTTCCAGACTTTTGATTAAAAATATGCCAGCATTTTTTTTTTTTATCTAAGTAGGCAACATGATAACAGCTGTAGATGTTACATTGATTTGGAAACACACACACACACACACACACACACACACACACCCCCCATAATCAGTAGCAAATGTCTCCCTGGCTTTGTCCAGTCAACTGCAGAAACACACCATCTGCCTGCACCAGATCGTACATGCCTATGGGAAACGTGTGGATGATACTAAGAAACTGAACATATGAAAATAAAGTTTCCCTTTTTAAAAAAGGAAGTAGAGACCATCATTCAGCCCTATGTGAGTCCTTGGTTTGAAAACTACTAGGGAAGGCCAGGTATGGTGGCTCATGCCTGTAATCCTAGCACTCTGAGAGGCCGAGGCGGGTGGATTGC